GAAAACTAGCGGCCTCGGGTTGATGACAAAGCCATAACACCGACTTTGGCAAACTGAGAAGCATCCACCTAGAGACCATGGTTTTGGGCTAATGGCCCTCTTCAGCCCAGGGCAGACTTTATTCCATGAGATCCACAAGGGATCCAATGGAATCTTCAAAATCTGCCAAAGAAGTGTTCAGCTGACAAAGAATTTGTCAAAAATGTAAAGGAGAGATAATGGAAACCCTGGGAAGAGCATAAGGGTCATAGCCAAGGATGTTGGCTCTATGACAATTGTCAGAACTGTCCACAATGACCTGGGTCTCAAGTCCTATGCCCTTTGGAAAATGGCCAGTTGCCAACTGAGAATATAAAAGATAACAGAGAAGCAAAGGCTGTTGCTCTTCCCAACAACCTGAAACATGACTTGAGGCATGCTGAGGTTCTTCTCTGATGAAAAGAACTTAAGACCTGGACCAAAAGATAAATCCCAGGAATGATCGCTGGATCTGTAAAGAACCTCAAAGGTACTTGTCGTGATGTATATGACAGGTACATACACGAAATTTTCTGCCTCCTTGATGGTCTTTGGTGTTATCAGCAGTGAAGATGATGTCATGACTCTCCATTTCTTTGAGAAGGGCCTTAAGATGAACGCTGACACCTACATCAATGTCCTGAAGACCATTGTGAAGTATTGGATGGACATGGTGACCACAGGAAGGAAGTATGTCTTTCAACAGGACTCAGCTCCGGTCTACAAGGCAAAAAAGATACAATCGCGGCTGACACTTAATGTCCCCAGTCACTGGAGTCCTGATATTTGTCCCCCTAACTCTCCATGATGCAACCCTCTCGACTATTATATACTAGCCGAATGACCCGGGCAACGCCCGTGTTTTACCCGATTGAATGTTTTGATTCAAATACTATTTGTTACAATTATAAATTGGCGCCTTAAATAAATGCATATGTTAGTTAATAACTATAGCCTATGTGCTTTATCTGTTTATGTACTGTTGGCTTCCGAAGGCGTCTCTTACTGGGAAAGAGAGGATTCCATTTGGTTATTAACTAATATATGCATTTATTTAAGGAGCGACCCGCTCCAACACAATAGTTACAAAAACGAAAAAGCGAGTGGGGGGGGGGGGGCAAAGGAGGCCTAGGCTTCATTCCGCACTCGCCTCAAGACTGTTGTAGCTAATAATTGAAACTACATTGAATAAATCAAAACTATATCCTTTTATCTACTACAGCGTCAAAATTTCCCTGCAATTTTTCAATTTTTACTAGCAATAAATTTTAGTTAAAAATACCATATTGTGATTATTCCCCATTTAACCTGATACACCAATGTAAACATATAGGGTGAGGGACCTGTGTCCTGTAGATCCTGAGCTGGATGATCTGATTGTTGTCCTCCTCCTTGCTCTTCTCTGTGGACAGCTGCAGCCGGCCAATCAGGTTCACTCTGCCTCGCTTCTGAGGCTTGCCGTTCTTTCTGCACCACCCCACACATCTTGCTTTATTAATACCAGGCATTTAACTGCTGGCTGGCATCTTTCATTAACAATATAAGGTAACAAATCCAAATAAATAAAGTGTGCGACATTTCGGTAACAGTGTTGTTACCATCATCATCAGACAAAAGTACTGATTCTTATACCTTATCATGTCATTAATAATATTGACAAGTTGGTCAATTAACTACACTGGAAACTCTTGATACAACCATCATCTATGATTTTCTCTCTTGGTTAAAAAAAAAACGTAATTGCCTAACTAGGTATATTTATTTGTATTTATTTATTTCATTGATTGGTTGTAAATTCAAGCATGATTATAGTGTCCTTTCCTTTCTTCTTTAAACTCTACTCAAACCTTGTAATTATTCAATTGTTTATGTAATATAGTATCTTAGTGTTGTTTCTCGACGCAAGCATCCCTTGTGAGGATATCGCTTCTTATTTGATAATATATAAATAAATCTCCGATACATTATTACAGTTTTCCTCCTATTGCAGTTAAAATCTCTGGTCCCAATCTTTTAATCCATCGAAGACCTAAATAGAAGGTTTTTTCACTGCTTTCCTTGAACATTAGCAATCAATCAATTCCCACTGGAAACCCACCTCTAAATCAGCCAACCATCCTATGGTCACCTCTTTGGCTTGTTGGAATATAGGATGGCCACACACAGAGCTTGGAGAGAAGTTAGTGAACTCACATGACACAGAAGTCCTGGTTGACCCAGAACTGGGTGTTGTCATCAAAGTCCTTGGAAGACTTGACCTCGGGGCTGTACAGTATCAGCTGCTTCTTCAACTTGGGGATTGCCACCAGTGACTACACACACACACACACCTTTAGGAAAAAACTCTTCACCTTCAATATGGCAAAAAATTGACATTTTGATCATTTTTATACATAAAAGCGCATGAAGATTTATTGATAATTTCCCTGAGTCCTGTATAATTAGATTTAAAACAGTTGTAGTCTTATTGTCTAACGGATATTTAAAATACAGCACACTTGCCACCATTCATGTGCTGAGAATATAGGTGCGATTCAGATAACTATCATTGTAGCAATTACTTTCAATTGTATCTATTACTTTTAAAATACTTCTCACACAAATTCACATTTTAAAAAACAAGCTTGTGTTAATTGGGACAACTTTCTTAAAAGGACCCAAATATTGGGAGTAACCTGTATAGGAGTCAATATTTTTAAATGGAACCTATCTAGGGGCCTAAATAGTATTAAAAAAATGTGTGATTCAAATATGACTGCAAGATATAATATTCTAGAAAGAGTAACCATAACTTAACTTTAACCCACAGAACCTTATGACGATAAGGCACAATTTGGATTATAGATTATAAACACAAGGTAATAATCCAAACACTATTTATTAATTTGGAATTGCTCTTATTACCTTGTGTTTAGAACCTTATGACATTTTCTTGAGAGCTAATGGCACAATGGTAGAGAATCTGATTTAAGGGAGTATGGTTGTGGTTTCAAAAAGAAATAGCCATAGTTCTTGGTACATATATTCAGACCTGCAATGAGCTCTGACTAGAAGGACTCAAGGAAGGTCACTAGATGAGCTGTGTTCATGATGGTCACTGACAGATTGAATTGGAGAATATTTTTCCATATATTGTCACCTAAAGTCAGACTCAACATGATGGACACTAACAACACAAACATATATTCAATTCATAGTTGATAATTTACTTTTAATATGTGGTCTATAAAAAGTTTCAAAATTGTAACGAAAGTGTATAGAGGATTTTTCAAAGTTATGTTAATGATAAAGCACAATTTGGATTATAGATACAAGAAGACCTAATCCAAATAATTTAATAGTGTGTGACGTTTCGGCAACAGCATTGTTACCATCATCAGACAAAAGATGATGGTAACAATGCTGTTGCCAAAACGTCACACACTATTAAATTATTTGGATTAGGTCTCATTTTCTTGTAAAGTTAAAATATATATATTTTTTTAAGTTGAGGCTACATGATTCAAACTCAAAACCATCAGAAATCCTAGGGAGTTGAACTGAGCTGCAGCCAATACAAACTCACCCAGAGGGTCCTCCTCAACTCAGCATCCTGGAGTTCAGTGGCCAGCCGCAGGTTCTCTAGGGAGAGTCTGTCATCTGCTCTCTGGTTCCATGCAAAGAGCACAGCCATTTGGAAGGTGGTGACCTCCAGGTCAAACTTGCCCGCCCTGTTGGAGAAGGCTATCTGTGCACATCTTTATTTATGTATTTTACCCCTATATATAATAATAATAATACAAACTGTAAGGCTAAGCACAGCAATGTTTAAAGTTTTTTAAAAATAGATTTAAATATGTATTTTTTAAAAAAAAAGGTGCTTGGAATATATTTCTAATTTTTAGCTATAGAGGGCGCTTAGTTGATGATGATAGGTTTGTCAGCATCGTTAGCTATTAGATAGAAAGGCAAGAAGTCTCAAAACATCTTCACTTTAATATACTGAGAATGGTGGGCATCCCATGATGGACTTGGGAAAAAATGATTCTAATTCTTGAATGTCTATTTTATTTTTGGTTTAGTATGTGCGCACATATCACAACCTTCTATATAAAATTTGCTATAAAAGTTGAGGGAAATACTGACTGTGCCGTTGGCCATGTGGTGGTACCACTGCAGCTTGCGGCCGTTGTGCTTGCGACGGTAGAAGTCCTCCACCTCCGGAATGAAATCCTCCAGTTCAAGGGGCAAGGATACCTGGACCCTCTCACTGCCCCGCGCCCACGCTCCGGCATTCAAGATCTTGATGTTGATCATGTCTGTCATCACACAATATTGATCGCTAGAGCTCCCAGGTCCACAAGGAAACAGACCTGATTCTCATACAAGTTCAACCAGGCCAGTGATCAGAATAAGCAGAAAATGGGGCATTTGCTTTCTAACTGCAAACTCAGTATCTACAGGTGTAGACACAAGGTTGAGTACAAGCTGTACCCTCCCCCAGAGTGGTCTATACTAGGTTTACAAGAGCTAAATAGCATTTTGATCTTTATCCAAGGTAACTGTATTCCAGTCCTCTGGTAAGCCACTGTAATAACACTCTGGGTCAACACATCAAAACTTCCATCAATAAATTATTAGAAAATAAACTGTTTATAACTTGAAAACTATATTGTGGCAGCCACCCAGAGCAATGTTTATAGGGCTGGGCCACACCACCAATCACTGTTACAGCCAAACAACTGCCTGCTCTAGTTAAATAGCACCTACACCTTTTCAACATCCTTTGCTTACCTGAACTTTACAATGAATGTTTATTTTATAATACAATATAATGCGGCTTATGATATTGTAGAACTATGTTTGACAATTATACCGCAAATGTTTCTTTTGAACGAAAAATCTAAATTTATTTTAAGGAGAAATAACAGTTATTTCTATCCTTAGGGATAAAGTATGAGAGGGATGAATTGTGAAGAATAATGATAAACGAAAAAATAAAGTGTCCAGGGATGGGAATCGAACCCACAGTGTTCCGCTTACCGGGCAGATGCCATGTCCACTAGGCTACCTTGTCAAACATCGTTTTACAATCATAAGCCGCATTATATTGTATTATAAATTACTTTATATATTATTTACGAACTGAAAAATATGTCCAGGATAGAAATAATCGTTATTTCTCCTTAAAATAAATTTAGATTTTTCGTTCAAAAGAAACATTTGCTGTATAATTGTCAAACAATGTTTATTTTAATTATTCCCCAGAATTGGCCAAACACCCATTCTTGATTAATCAAAAAAAGCTAACTACGGAAGCGTTTCGGGCTGTTGGCCCTCATCAGCATGGTGCAAGCTGTATCTCAACAACCAAAAAAACAGTCTTTCAGGCATCTTGAAATATCATGAAACGGGTAGTTAAGGCCGGAAGGGCATGAGAATGTCAATTTTTTCGTATACATTATATATATATATATAAAAATATTTTAAAAACTTAATGCTGTTGACATTATGTGGCGCTGAGTTTGTTGTTGACACACTTTAAAATGTTATAACACCTTGATAAAGGTTGGCGTTCAGCCAACTGAAATATTGGTAAAATAAATGATATTTCGATCCAATATATGCCTTTTTAATTAAAAAAATATATAAAATGAAAGGATATAAAAGCACGAATGTTTCTTTTGTACATAATACAAAATTCTACTGCCCTTACTGCGATGAAAAAATATATATTTAAAATACAGGGTGATCCAAAAGTCCTGCACAACTTTAAAAATTAATAACTCCGCGAATATTTGCGCTAGAGCAATGCGGTAAACACCATTGTGTTCAGGATGCAATGGGATTTTTTATGGCAAATAATGAAAAATTCGAAATTGATTTTAGTTACAACTTTATTCGCTAGATGGCGCTCTACCAGAATCAGTGATTCAGCGGCCAAATTGTTTGATAAATTGAAAAATATAACTGAACGACACGTATTTTTCCTTTTTGAATACCAGGAAAGAACCCTAATAATATCAAATTATAAATTAATAAAACATCATTTCGCCAAAAGTTAGAAGAAATGGTTAACGATTTTTAAATACAATCTGAGATATGTAAAATAGGTATATGCAAATTAAAACACGTAGCAAAAAATATTTATATTTTAGATGGAGTTTTGTGAAATAGATCGAATATTTGAAAATAACTACTGATATCAAATACACGATATTTGAAATTTTAATATAGTACCAAAAATTATGATGGCACTACTAATAGGATTCCCTGCTATAAGGAATGTGTAGTTTCTTGACTGATTGGCGACACTTGACTATTTAACTGGATATTTGTCATGATCCAAAAATGAAATATAGAGGGGAGTGACAAAATATATTTGTCGTACTTTATTCCAAATATCCTATGGGTTTGTCAAATGTTATCATTGTTTATAATACTGTACATAATTTTGAAAATGTATCTCCTAAAAAATCATTTTTTAATCGACCTTTTGCGTTGAAAAACGTAGTAGTAAAATCATTTTGTATTATTTTTTGCGCAAAATTTCTGAAGTTGGGGGGGGGGTACAGAGAATATTCCTTATGCTATTTCTTCTAATGAGCGAAAAGCGATAAACTAAACACATAAGGGGTAAAATTGTGTATACCAGTGGTATTCGAGAAGTTATAACACTTTGGCCTGCACGATATAATATAAGATGTGGGCAAATGGCAAACAAAAAAATTACTGTTCACAGAAAAAAAAAAGAGTCAAGATGTGAGGACAGCATTTATTATTCCCATAACCCAAAACAAAGAGCTGCAATATATAACACATGAGGTAACTGCCTTCTCTCTTGTATTAGGTCACAATCCTTGCTCAATGTGGCGCCCTTCATTCTCAAACACCGCCTGCAGACGATAGATGACAGAATGGTCACAATTAAATAGTTGAAATTTATAAAACGTGCCATCTGATAGAAGCCTTCAACATGGCCAATGTGGTAGGCCGGCATCGATAAAAACGCGACTTAATGTATCCCCATAACCGAAATTGTAAGGCGTCAGGTCTGGTGATATTGGAGGCCACTGGTATATAAAGTGGCGACTTATCAACGAATTTCACCGAACGTATCCTTCAGCAATTGTTTGGCACCGCGGGAGATATGAGGAGGTCCTCCATCTTGCATGGATGTTATTTTGCTTATTGCTTGTCTGTCCTGCAATATGGGAATAACATTTTCTCTCAAAAGTTGAACATAACGTTCACCAACTACAAAAACGGTTTTAAAAGTTCTTCCATTGATTTACTCAAAGAAAAATGGCCCAATAATAAAAGATGAAGTGAACCCACACAAAACTGTAACTCTGGGCTGATGAAGTGGTATTTCTGTAAAATTCCTAGGGTTTTCTGTTGCCAAAATGAGGCAGATTTGAATGTTAAATCCTCCCTTTAAATAAAAGTGAGCATCATCTGTTCTTAGAACATTTGACAGCCAATTTTCATCAATATCAATTTGCCGGAAAACCCATGCAGCGAATTCTTGACGCTTCTCAAAATCGCTGACTTTCAACTCGTGAAAACTTTGAATTTTGTTAGGGTATTTTTATAGAAAAATTCTAAATGTGTGTTCTCTCCAAACTGTTCCATACGAAATCCCCGTTTTTCGAGAAACTTGTCTAGCACTTACTTCTCCATACGTGGATAACGTTTCAATAGCTTCAGCATTCTGCAAAACCGTAACAGCCACTGACTTGCATGTCGATGGTCTTCCACTCCGAGGTTTTGCTTCCAGAGACCTAGTTTCCTCAAAACTTTTAATCAATCGCTTTAGAGAGTAGCAACTCATTGGTCCTTTACCGCTTCGAATATCTTTAAAGGAACGAAACACTCGTATAGCTTCAGTGGCAGATTCTGAATCACAATTTAAAAAATTCACCAAGAGTGCTTTATCCTGTAGTGACGGCATTCCAGGGGGAAGGGGAGAAGTCCGACCACACCTCCTTGCGGTCCCCCCTGGACCCTTGGAATATTTGACCAAATTCTGGTTCGTTTCCAAGATGACTAACGTTGCAACGGCACCCATTTTCAAATGAAGAGCAAAACTGATATCTCCAGTAATGCTACCTCGTCCGGGGTAACCGCCGCGTCAGGAGCTGCAGCTCGAGCTCATGATGAGAAATCTACTACGAGGACACAATTCAATCAACTACAACTTAATTAAATGGTACCCAGAGGAAAATAAAGAGCTGACTTGTCTTCTCTGTGACAACAATGTACATATTACTAGTCCTCAGGAGACAAAATTGAATCAGAATCTGAGATTCAATATCAAAGATTATACAACACTACGAAAGGACAGACCGGGAAATTCTGAGGAGGACTTGCAGTTTTGATTAAAACTCTAGAAATCAAATTTAAGGAAATCACCTATAATCAGAGTAAGCCTAGAGAAAGCACGACAGAAGCTAAGGCAATAGAAATAAATTCCAATCATAAATGTTTATCACCACGATAATACTAGCATTAATACAGGCCTGATAGAGACATTAAGTGAAGCGTCTTCGGATATCGCAATCATACTCGGTGATTTTAACGCCGAAAGACCAACTTGGGGGATCACCTGTCCAGGATAACAAAGGTCAGCAGGTTGAGGACATGCTAACCGACCTCGACCTTACACCGTTAAATAACGAAAAGAACAACTATATATCCAAGTCCACAGGCACAGAATCCGCAATAGACATCACAGCGATAAATTACAACATCGCACCCACAACACAATGGAAAATTCTGAAAAGTGCAATCAGTGACCACAGACCAATTTTAACAACCCTAAAATTCAAGTTGAGAATTTCCAACAGAATAAAAGAACACTGGAAAAAATTTCACAGAAAAACTTGAAGAACTGTGCAACGAAGAATTAAATCACAGAACGATTGACAAAAAATTGGAAAAATTCTCTTCGAACATATCCAAAGCTGCAAAAGTATCGATACCTAGAGGTAGACGTAAAGACCTGTGAATACTTTACTGGAAGGACCACAATATCGAGGCAATGATTGCAGAGAGAGACAATATCATTGAACTTCTTAAAACAAATAAAACAGAAGAAATCATAAAGGAACTCATTGAAATTAGTTACAAAATAGAACAAGAAATTTGGATATTCAAACAAGAGAGAAAAATGGGCAGAATTCTGCGGAAAAAATGGATCCAAAAAAGGAAAGCCATCACTGGAATATAATTAGTGTTATAAAACAATCAAAACCAACACTAATCCTCCAATACTCTAACCGATATGAATAGCGAGAACGAACAAACAGATGGCTGAAATAATTGCTGAATATCTTTCAAGCACTTCCAGACTCAGCTATACGAATGAAGGCAGGACTCTAAAAAATTATGTAAACAGGTTAGTTAAACAAGCAAGAAATTACCATCAACAAGATATTTACTCGAGAGACTTCACACTGAATGAGCTAAACTCATCAATAGGAAAGTTAAATCCAAGATGTCACCTGGAGATGCTCCAATCTTTGGTCAAATGATTAAACACTTTGAAGATGAAGCTAAAAATCAACTCCTACGAATACTGAAGATTTCATGGCAAACTGGTAAACTACCAAAGAATTGGAAGATATCAATTATAGTGCCAATACTGAAACCAAACAAAGATGCCATGGAATGCAAGAACTATCGGCCAATTGCTCTTACCAGCATACTTTGTAAAATAACAGAATGAATTATCCACTCTAGGCTCATAGTCTGGCTCACTAACAATAATAAAATAAACTTCTACCAAACTGCCTAAAGATCCAGACACTGTACAACTGATAAACTGCTCTACTTCTGTCAATCAATAATAGATTTCTAGGAAAAACCGCCAAAGAAGAAAACGGCCGTATTCCTGGATATGACCTCAGCTTTTGATCGAGTGTAGAAATTATTTGAAAGGCTGCACAACATAGGAGTAAGAGGAAAAACCTTAATCTGGATTACAGACTTCTTAAGGGGAAGAAGGATAAAGGTTCGGTCAATGGAACATTTTCCAAGGACCGAAGAACATGGGCTGGTGTACCTCAGGGATCT